GAAATGTCCAATAATATCAGACAATAATGTAATTATAAATAAGAATTTCAATTTCTATACAAAAGAATATCCTGAAAGTTCAGGAAAATGATTATAACTTGAGAAGAAGGATTTAATAACACAAACTCTTTCAGGATTTTCATCTACAGTATGAGTCATACTTGTGAGCAAAATATGAGTTCAAATGAAGATCATCAGTCGGATGGGTTGCCTCATGATAGTCACTCTTTTTATAGAACACTAAGTGGTAATAAAGAAATTTATCGGTTATATTTCAACGAATTTTGTCACTAGAAATCTAGAGAAGTCGTTTTTTTGCTTATTTCATGTAAAAGTTTATGAAATAATATGCAAAGAAATCTTTAAACTTGTAAATGAAAACGATTTTTATTTGATATGTTTTGCAAGAGGGAATCTTTTTTTAAATGTATCTCAACAGAATTGAACATCAATATTATATTGTTGACTTTTGCAAAACGATCATCTGTTATCTAAATGTTAGATCTGCCAGAATCATTCAACATAGTTTACAATAATATATTTCAATGAATAATAGATCTAACTTCAGTTGCATCATGTATTAGAGAATGATTAGATTTTCGTTCTATCGATGGGCATATTCTATATTAGAATAATTTGTTCTTTTATAATGCAATTAAAACAGACTGATATCAGCTCAACATAGGATAGGACGAAAAAAGCCATCCCATGGGATATTTCAATTGTCAAATGTCTTTTAAAAGATATGAAATTTGTTCAAACATTTACCGATCGATTCATGCCTATACCCACTTGATGTTCTTAAAAACATTAGTGATTACTAACAAAGTTTGGAATTTTTTAGATTGTTTTTTTAATCCTGTGACGGAGATAATGGAAAACTCCTAACAACAAGAAGATAAATTAATTTACATATAATTTGTTTGTCTCATAGGATGAGACGATCCCCAAAAAATTCCCATCTCATCCCATGAAACTCATGGGATGAAACTTTTCCATCCCACGCGGAGCCCTGGTGTTGATATAGTGACCGTATATTTATTACTTTGTCGCACATGTTTATTTGATCACATGTTGGATTGACATGATATATTTTAAACAATACATCATGGTGATTTTTTATAATGGTAATTGGGATAATTAATCTTTTTCCTTAGTGTTATTAAAAAAAATTTTTTTTTCGTTAATTTATCCAAAATCTACAATGTTTATTATCGAAAATATAATAAACCTCTTCCCGCAATAGAAGATTCCGAGTCTTCTATTGTGTCGCAGGTATTTTTATTATTTTTTAATTAAAAGAATTTTTCGAAAAACTAAAAAGATTTCGAGGATTTAGAAAGAAATTTTTAGAATTTTAAATGCCAAGAAATAATGTTGACGTCAATCTTTTAACTCTGAAAACTAAGCGTATTTTGCGAAAAATCAATCAATCAAGAGAAGTCTTTTATTACGTTCAACACATCGTACCTGAAGGGAGGTGTTTTATTCCGAGGATGGATTTAGTTTTTAAGTGAAAACGAAAAATTGATATTTAGCGATTATTAGAATTTTCTTGTTAGTCTTGGAATTAGCAATATTAAAAAACTAATAAATTTCTGTTTTTCACTTTATTATTTCTTTCATAAACTATTTCGAACAACCGTTGTTAAATTTTTCTTGTTTTGACATCAACTAACATTTATAGTTTTAAATATGATCGGTAGTTGGATGAATTCGATATTTTTTTGATGTTGTTCTATTTATTGTGCTTCTTATATGTTATTTTAGATTATCTTATTATCCATTTTAATGGTTTCCAATGGATTCATTTTTTTTTTCGCTTCTTAATTGATTATCAAATGATTGATAAGTAATAGATGTCGTTCGATACACAATTAATAAAAATAAGATAAAAATAATAATAAATAGATAAAGAATTTTATTCTTTGTAAATAAACAATATTATTCAATATTTGTTATTGTTTTTTTTGTTTTATTGTCTATCATCAATTGGATAAGTTAAACATACATAATATTCAAATGACTCATTTATTTAACAATATATCCTTCAAAATATTGAGTTACAAATCACTCTATCACCTTTTCAAATTAATTTTCTCTCTTATAGACAAATAATCGTAACAAAAAAATAAGGAAAAAAATAAATAAATAAAACTATACCCTACGACTAATTCTATTGCGTAAATGAAGTGGGTCAACAGAAGAAAAAGAAAAAAAAAAGCACATGAATCATTATTAAAACATTGCTATCATCAAATTGTTTATCTTCCAACCACTTCGTATATGAAATTCATTTTTATTTTTATTTTTTGTTTAGATGATTATTTAAATGCGTTTTTAACGACACAAAACAAAAAAAAACAAATATTTTTCCATCAATGGTTGTCGGAGGTCCATCACCGGTGACAATTGTCGAAGAAGAAGATATTAATGTATGTGAATTATCAAATTCTGTTAGTGATGCAGCACCTTCATCATCAAATACAACAGAATTACCTATTGATCAAACAAATAATATAAATGAATTTCCATTTGAATTTTTATCTGGTGAAGAATTAATTGATCATAATATGGATTTAACTGATGGTTATATTTATTTAACAACATATCGTTTATTTGCATTTTCAAATCAATCATCATCATCACATTGTTCATTTATTAATTATCCAATACGTTTAATTGAAACAATTGAAGTAAAAGATAATATTTATTTATCTATACAATGTAAAGATATTCGTTCATTTCGTTTAATGTTTACAACAACTGAAAAATGTTGTTATTGGTTTAAAAAATTAAATGAATATATAACAACATTAATATGTTTAGATGATTTATTTGCTATTAAATATGCTTTAAATAAATCTCAACAAGATAATAATATAAAACATGATTATATTCGTCAAGAATTTATACGTTTACAATTAGATTCTTATCCATGGCGTTTAACAGATATAAATCATGATTATAAATTATCTCCAAGTTATCCAAATATTTGTGTTGTACCAGCAAATATAACTGATGACGAAGTTCATGAAGTAGCAAAATTTCGTTCATATAAACGTTTTCCAACTATTGTTTGGAGGTAAATTGGTTTTTTTTATGATGATATTATTATTATCTTTTTTTTGTAAATATTAGACATAATAATGGTGCAGTTATTGCACGAACAAGTCAACCAGAAGTTGGATGGCTTTTTTGGCGTTCAAAAGAAGATGAAAAAATGATTCAAGCTATAATGAATGCTTGTAAAACAACAACAACAACAACAGAAGATTCCACTAATGAAATAAATTCAAATCGTTTATTAATTCTTGATGCACGAAGTTATACAGCAGCACTTGCAAATCGTGCTAAAGGTGGTGGTTTTGAACATCCACCTTATTATTCAGATTGTGATGTACAATTTATGAATTTACCTAATATTCATGTTATACGAAAAAGTGCATATATGTTAAGAGTTGCTGTTGCTAATGCAGTACAAGGAGAACAGTAAGATAGAAATTTTAGTTTTTGTATACTGTAGAAAGGAAAAACATCGAAAAATTTTTATTTTTGACATAAGGGAGTGTATGTGAGGGGTGTAGGTGTGCGTTCGAGTCTTCTTTTCACCTACACATTCACACCCACCCTGGGAACATCACTTTTTTCTTTTCCACCTTTCCTACTACCAATCAAACTAATAGTAAATTCAATAGCAATAAGAGTAGAAGATTCGTACATTGGCTCTTTTTTTTATTTATTGATACGATTCATTAATTTTTCAGGTAAAAAATTGTGTCGATTAAGTAAATCGATTATTTTTTTTCGGATTGTTTTTGAATATGTGAATGAAAAAATAAAATTCAATTTTTCTGTTATTTTATCAGTAGATTCTGCATTTTCATTTTCGATAAATTTATTTATTTTAGTTGGCTAGCACAATTAGAATCTTCAAGATGGTTACATAATTTATCTGCATTAATAAATGCAGCATCATTTGTTGTTGCTACTGTTAATAATCATGCTCGACCAGTACTTATTCATTGTTCAGATGGTTGGGATCGTACACCACAAATTACAACATTAGCTGAAATAATGCTTGATTCATATTATCGTACAATAGAAGGTTTTCAAATATTAGTACAACGTGAATGGATTGCATTTGGTCATAAATTTGCTGATCGTTGTGGACATGGAAATGGTGCAAATGATCTTCATGAACGTAGTCCAGTTTTTCTTCAATGGCTTGATTGTATTTATCAATTATATATACAAAATCCAACTGCATTTGAATTTAATGAAATGTTTCTTGTAAGATTTCAATTTACATTTATCCTTAAAAAAAAACATATATATATATATATATATATATATATTATTTTTTAATTTAGTTGAAATTAGCACATCATACATATACTTGTTTATATGGAACATTTTTATGTAATACAGATTTTGAACGTACAACAACTAATTTAGAAAGTCGAACATTAAGTATATGGAGTTTATTAAATGTTAATTCAAAACAATTTATTAATCATTCATATAATAAAACAAAAAAAGAAGTAAATAAATTTTTTATTATATAAGATATAGCTAATGCAAAAATCGAGAAAAAATTAGATTTTATAGAATTATATATGAGTACATAGAGTTTACGATGCTGATTAGAGATATATAGTTTTAACACAAGAAATTTAAAAATAGTCATTTCTCAATGATTGCTCTAACTTACACTAGCCTATCTTTCGCTGAAATAGTTTGACAAAATTTGATCGTCATGATCCGATTTGGCTTATTTCACAAGACTAATAAGTTTATCTAGCTAATCGATACATCCTTTTAATTTTATGTCTTAGCATTGTTGAGAAAACCCACTTTGTATACAATAATGACCGAAAATAAGATCGTATTTGAAAAATTTAGCTGAAAAACATTGACCTTTGGACTTAATCGATATGATATTCGG